CATTCGCTGCTCCTCCGTCGTCAGATTGCGTTTACGAATCCTTCCTTCAATGTTTCTCCGACAAAGCCAAATCTCCACAATCCCAAATCACAGAAAACGTCTTCTCTCAGACAAACCCTTCTTTCTCCTCTGTTCTACGCGCTTACATTCGCAACGCCAGATTCAACACTTCTTCTACTCTCAAACCCACCATCATTATCACTCCTCGCTCCGATAGCCACGTCAGCGCCGCCGTGATCTGTTCAAAAACCCTAAATTTCCATCTCAAGATCCGAAGTGGAGGTCACGACTACGATGGTCTCTCTTACATTTCCGATAAACCCTTTTTCATCCTCGACATGTCGAATCTCCGTGACGTCTCCGTCGATATCTCCGACCAATCGGCGTGGATCTCCGCCGGAGCCACTCTCGGAGAAGTTTATTACGGGATTTGGGAGAAGAGCAAAATCCATGGTTTCCCTGCCGGAGTTTGTCCGACGGTTGGTGTCGGTGGTCATTTAAGCGGCGGTGGGTACGGTAATATGCTGAGGAAGTATGGTTTATCGGTGGATTACGTTGAAGATGCGAAGATCGTCGATGTGAATGGTCGGATTTTAGACCGGAAGGGAATGGGTGAGGATCTTTTCTGGGCGATCTCCGGTGGAGGTGGAGCTAGCTTCGGCGTCGTTTTGGGTTACAAGGTCAAGCTTGTTCCGGTACCGGAAACCGTGACGGTTTTCCGAGTGGAGCAGTTTATGGATTCAGGAGCGGTGGATATGGTTTACAAATGGCAATCGGTGGGTCCGAAAACCGACCCGAATCTGTTTATGAGAATGTTGATTCGGCCAGTGACGAGGAAGAAGGTGAAGACAGTGAGAGCTTCAGTGGTTGCTCTGTTTTTAGGCAGAGCAAACGACGTCGTTTCGTTGCTTGCTAAGGAGTTTCCTGAGTTGGGGTTGAAGAAGGAGGATTGTAAGGAGATGACTTGGATACAATCGGCTTTATGGTGGGATAATTACGTAAACGCAACTCAGACTGATCCTAAAGTGTTTCTTGATCGGAATCTTGATTCGGCTAGCTTCGGGAAGAGGAAATCGGATTATGTTGCGAGTGAGATTCCTAGAGATGGGATTGAGTCTCTGTTCAAGAAGATGATTGAATTGGAGAAAATCGGATTGGTTTTCAATCCGTACGGTGGGAAAATGGCAGAGGTCGCAGAGGACGCGACGCCTTTTCCTCACCGGAACAAGCTATTCAAGATTCAGTACTCGGTGAATTGGAAAGAATCATCTGCGGAGATAGAGAAGGGTTTCTTGAATCAGGCTAAAGTGCTTCATAGTTTCATGACAGGGTCTGTGAGCAAGAACCCTAGAAATGCTTACTTGAATTACCGTGATGTCGATATCGGGGTGAACGATCACGGGGCCAATAGTTACGAGGAAGGAGAGGTGTACGGAAGGAAGTATTTCGGTGAGAATTTCGATCGATTGGTGAAGATTAAAACCGCGGTTGATCCAGAGAATTTCTTCAGGAATGAACAGAGTATACCTACCTTGCCAAGCAAGGCATAGTGATAAAAGATTTTAATTTAATAATAATTGAAAATGTTTGGTTTTGAATAAACCAATAATTAGTGAAGAAGAATATAATTATATATGATTTGGAACATTGTTTTATTGTATTCATATTACTCTACAATACAATCCTTTTTCATTATGTTGAAAGCTTAAAATGGTTTGGTATTGATTATAAAAACAGATATTCAAAACCGTTGATTGTTGAATTTTAGCTTTACCTGAATTTGAAATTGTAGCGCAAATTAGGGTCTTGATTTAGAGTAGTTGAAAAAATGATAATGATTCTCGTGAGTTTTTTTTTGTTTTGGATCAAAGACTATCAAAACTCGTGAGTAAAATTTGGATTATGTATAAACTGAATCGTTGACTGAAGTTTAAAAGTCAAATGTTGTG